AATAAATATAATTAATACTAACCCAGAGGAGAAATAATTTGTCGACGAGAGACCGATGGATAAATCAAAATATATTAAATAATATTTAAATCGGTCTCTTGATAAAACCTTTATCTCTCCAGCCCTGCTCATCACATGGCTGTTTTCTCCTCTGATGAAATGCCAAGATCTAGGAAGTTTATTGTATATTTTAGACATCCATTAAACCATCCGAATAGCCATTCGCCAAAAAACGTACGGTTTGTAAGAGAATCGAACTGAGCTCGTCGCGAACCTACAGCGAGGATACGTCACACGAAGGATGCAGTTAGAAATACTCATGATATTTTGCGTCTGCCTCGTGATGTTATGAAATTTACCTCAACGAAACGATTTGATTTGCAGCCTACTAGCGAAATCATAAATCGCTGCACTACCAACCTTCCGTTTCTCAGCCTTATATCCATCGGGATCAAAGGCATTTTTTCTTCCCGCGTAAGGGAAAAACTGAGTTTACATCAGAAGCGCAAGAGATTGTTTCTCATCGAACCCACACCATCACTCAGATACGGTGAAAAGAGCTTCAGGTCTTGAACTACTCATGTTCACTAGGCGGTAAAACCCTAACTCTTGAAATCTGAGAAAACACTGTTAATGGAAACCACATATCAAATAGCACAGATGTTCCGCAGAGGATCAAGGAAAAGTTAACCCTCAACGATCACTCAGGTGAAATTGAAGCAAATAATAGACATTGAACTTTAGGAAGCCTTTATGCGCGGGCGCCAGATAAAAATTTCCGACAAAATTGTGTCTACAATTTGCTTATCAGTGGCAGCCAACTTGTTCACAATGACTTTACATTTTTTCTGTATAATTCTCAACGATGATAAAACATAATCTATATTACGAATACGGCACCGGAAGCAGTCACGTATACTGCTTCAATGGTTGTTTAACATAGATGCGACACTTGTACTGAATTGGCATTGGCTTTCTTCTGGGAATACCTTCACGAGATACTGCAAAGCTCTATGGTGCATAGGAGAACCGTCGAAGAAGAGGGGGATGTGTCCAAGCTCCTCGAAGAAAATTCCAAACGGGAACAGTATCACAGAGCCGCCACTTGGAACTCACTCCACGCAGCCTGAGTGAGGGACAAACGTTCGTACTGTTGAAGACTGGCCAAGACTGAATGAAACGAGAAGCACTAGCAAAAATGGTCCAACGCTCTGCCTGTCGCTCGAGTCAGACTACGGTGAACTTCACAACATGACTGACGGACGACTGAGAGACTACAGCAGTGAAGATTTGGCACCCAACGGGCAGCAGTCGAGGAATTGGAAGTCCTTGGTTCAGGCGTGGTAATGCACCAAATGAGAGATATGGAATTTTGTGGGTACGAATCGAATCAAACTCAAACTTTGGTATAGGTGCTAAACGGCGGAAACGGCGAAAACGATGATCCTCAATTATTTTTAAGAAAGATCAGCTTACTTTCATTGCTGCTGATGCAACGTTCAGGGAATGGACATTTAAATATGCAACTTCTGCCTACAAAATGGTCAATCTTTATCTGACGTGATTGGCAGAGTATTTAATTTTTTGTTAATATGGCGATTAAGTGTCTCACGGTCAAGGCAGCAATTACAATTTCCGTTCATTGATTGCAATGTGAAGGGACTGCTCCATTGATAGCATCATTTTGTCGCGATGCCGATCAGCCGCTGTTCGTAGTATCATTACAGTTCTCATTGCAGGCAGAAAACCCTAAACGGTCAGTGTGATGATTCCTGAATACTACTCTGTTTTCGCCTACTTCAGTAAAGGCCTATCCATATGTCCTGCCGTTGTATGTGCGGGCATGGTTATTATAGGCAATTTTATAGCGACATTTCTGCTGCCTAGTTTTGGAGAGAATCGAACATGTTAGACAAAAATGTTCCTAAGTTGTTTTCTGTAGAGTCATCTTGTTTCTTCAAAACCATCGTGTTTCTCCTATATGACTTGGGTACGAAGCATGACAAATTGAGGTTGCCGTTCAAACATCAGGCGCGACTAAATTTTAATGATATTACGTTAAGTTAGAGCCTTGTAACGTTGGTAATGCTCAGTTCATGTCTATTGATCTTTATTCTCTGTCCATTCTTATAGTTGGAATTCCTCTGAAATTTTTATCATTACTCCGGCGAGGAAATTTTCATCATTGTTACAGTGACATATTGCTTATCGTTGTCATTTGTGCATATGATCCACTGGATTCGAACTGGAAGCTATTTAATGGACCTCTGTTTTTTACTCTGGGACCTCATAAAAGATCATCCGTTGGGCAGGGTGATTGCTTGGCACATATTAATAATAAGCTACGACGATCGGCATCCTGAATCGACTGATGGATTGCAGAATAACCCTCGTCAGCAATTTAAAGAGATAGGATTGGGGAAGCACTGACTTGCGTTCGCGGAGCGTTCATGGTGAAGACAAGTGAGATTAAGAGTGACGAATAATACAGCATTAATTGAACATTTGGACAGTTAAGAACTGCTGGTGAACAAACCTCGATTTTCCTCATAGATCAAATTACTTGCGCAATGAGTTAATGTCCTATAGCACAGGTATTTCAACATTTTGCCAGGCACCAACTCACAAGTGCGAGATAAAGCGTTAGGAAAATGGTTAGACCGTTGTAGCTTGTTTAATACTGAAAAAACCATTAGCATCTCTTTTGATAAGAATGTCGAAGCCAATCATTGTCCGTCATCAGGTCATTGTGTTCTTGATCTGAAGTGAATTTTCTTCTTTTGATAGGATCTATAAGAATCAAACGGAGCATGAGGGCGATTATGATTAGCCCGCAAGATGAAAACATCCGTCGTGCATCTTAAATCAGGCGAAGGTCTACGATCAAGAGCACAGACAGCCAGGGCATTAGGCATTATGCTAACGATACAATACAGAATAGTTGAAACAAACTGAGTGTATGCATAAGATACTCAAATCACCTGTTCAAGAAACGGCTTAGGTACAGCTGGCACGGGGTCAATGGCGATGAACACTTGGAGATGAGGCAAAGCAGATGCGGCGTCGTCGAACTTAGCTGACAGCGAGTAGCCATAGATCAACGGCGGAACACAGACTTGGAACGTTCCTTGGATCTGAAATTTTCACGTGTTCAATGTCGTTTGCTGTCTGTAGACCACGATCACCGTCTATCGCTTACCCTTCCCTGCAGGAAAAGT